ATATGGCAAAGATATAGGGATGGGGTCATGTATCTGTGTGCATCTTGCTGTGGAATGACCCCTTGTGTTGTCTTCTTCCTTTTTGGTGCTTCAAGTCATCCCTATATCCCCCTTTCATTTTGCAGACATGATTTTTCCTTTCCACTTGTACCTATACACAACACGGTCGCACTGCCCAAAGGATGCTAATATCTGACCATTGGAGAATATGCTTGATCATACTCTCACTTTTAGTGTGGCATATGTGTGCAGTAGTTTAATGTTCAGGCAGGTTTATGTACGATGCTAGCTGTTTCATGTCCATATACTCTATGCCGTGATATGTTATAGAGTGTATAGCAGCATCGTGGTAATTGTGCTATAGACTCGGATCGTAAGGGAGCTGACTACAGTGCCTATCATTTTCTCGAGACACACAGTAGTATTTTGGTGCCAGCTGTAATTGGGATAGTTATAAGCTATAGTAGGCATCTATCCCGTTCATTACAGTGGGGTGGGTGGGGATATAGTGTAACCATATCTTTGCCGGTGCCCATCCTAACCCCTCAGATTGCCGACTCCACCTCTTGCCTGATACTTTGTGTCAAGATTGGCTATTTCCCTGGCATTGGTTCTATTGGCAGTGCGGTTCCGTCCGGTAAAGTCGAGGCATCAGTAGGGCAGCGCCAAATCTTTGTATACCCGTCGTCAGGATAACTTCGTGACAGCTATATTCCCTGGCGTTTCTTACCAGACTCGCATGCCTACCAAGTTTTCGTCTGTTGTTGTGTGTGTTACAAACATGTACAAAGAGCATGTCTTAGTCTGTTGTGTTTTGACCACTAAGTTATTTCATAGTGACTAGAATAAACGTGCTCTACCTCATTAAGTTGTGAGTTACAGGACTGGAGTGCCCTTTATAGTATAGTTGTTTAATTGGTTTTCAAAAGCATTGTTTACAAATCATAATAAGTGTATTAATTATTATGACCTATGCACATGCATGGTTATGGGTGTTGAAGTTTTCTTTTCCTTCTACATCTACGATGCGAGTACCATGCCCAATCACCCTGGCTCTGCTCCTAATAGCTAACTTAGTGATTATTGCAGCTAGCGTCGCTTGTTGTTCCCCCATTAACCCATAGCCTGTCGCGCATCAACCCTCGGTCGCGCCTGCGCAGCGAGGGTTACGGTAGTCGTTCTGTCATCTGTCTGTCTGTCTGTCTGTCGCGCGCGAGTGCTCTCGCACTACACAGGCCACAAGGCTGCATGAGTGGCACGCAGACGCGGTATGTGAACAACGAGAAGGTTGGATATAATGTGGTGATTTTTTCTGGACAACGGTCTGCTGACGTTGTCCAAGATATGGGCGTGAAAACCAAGCGAACAGCGCACAGCGAGCGCTCCAGTGACGGCAGTGCGTGTATAGTGGGTGTATACCGTTTGCCGGAGCAGTCAGACGATCGAGCGGCTCCATTGCGCACACGACCTATGTGTTGCGTCCAGTAGCTACGTCGGTGTTTGCTGGGAGCCATGTCGAGATGAACCGACGTGGTTCTGTTATTGACGATATGAACTGTACACAAGCGGTTCTCTGAGTATTACTCTCCTCGGCTGTCAGTGTGCAAATCTCTGCGTGGTACATGCATCACACTTGTTTCCCCAGATGAGTCTGCGAGTACGTGCCCCACAAGTCACGTCACCAAGAGTGAGCCACACGGTCTCATGTCACTCAGGCAAGGAGATCTCCACTGTACTGTGCGATGACCACAAACTAGAGCAGTGTATGTCCGCTACTGTAGCACAGCAAGTTTCTGTTAGACGAGCGTATTGTGGATGCGGCCATGCCCTCCATACTACGCGTACAGCCAGTCTGGCAAGATATCCCGAGCACGAAGCACAGTAGAAAGCAAAAGCGAAGGTGCGAGCGCTTTGAGTGTGAGTAGTATCATAGGCACTTGCGTATAGTGCTGATGTTTCTATGTATAGCATGACCAACTTTGATATTTAATATTCGGTATGCTGACCATCCCCCTATACCAGGCTTATCCATCAAATGTCTCATATCATGCCAGGAAGAAGCACGCTCATTGCTTTCTACGTTGAAGGATCGCCTCGGAGCTATCATATATATGGCTCCTCTCATAGCGGAACTGTGTGTATCTCACTGCATACTTGCAACAACATGTCTATGAACTCATAGCAGATACCCTTCATCCAATTGTTCATCTTATATTCAATTTTGTAGTTACACGTGGAATCTCTTAATACGGACACTGTTAAGCGAAATAACTGTTTGATACGAACCGCTTTGAAATAGCCCACCAGCTTACAAAACCAACAAACGTGCGCATTTTGAGCCAAGGGTTTGCACTTAGTGCTTTTAATTTTTTAAGTAACTGCCATCCCCCTATCCCCTACCATTAATTATGAGAAATACTATTTTTCCACTTGCATATTCACAGAATTCAGAGCAAAACCGTTAAAGTGCCCTCCTCAACCCATTTGTAGTTCAGGTCTGTGAATGACAGGTTTAGTCAGCATTTTGTGATATTGTTTCGTCATCACGACCATTACAGTCTCCTTTGTGCAGCAAATTATGGCTTAGTGTTCACACACTAGATCAGTAGTTTTGTTGAGTTTTGTTTGTGAATAGTAATGCAACTTGCTTGCGATACATACAACAGTATTGGTGAGCAAATGTGTGCATAACTTCTTTCATAGTGTAACGTATGGCTTTTTGTACAAACCTGTCTTTTGACCACGTGTAGAGACATATTGAATTAATCTTGTAACTACAGATAATAGCTAAGTACCTTTCAGTATGTTACACAATGTACAGCACAACTTATACATCTAGGTGGGTTGCTTTGCTTCTACTTCTTGTAATAAACCTGCACAAGACATACAATGCAAAATAAAACATTTCTTGTGGTTTTCAACTAACCATTGTGTAACGATTTGGTTCAACGTCAAAGCTTTCACTTGTACATCCATGTTTTTCTGCTTGAAGATGAATGATCCTTCTGTTGTAGCTTGAAGTAGTTTTGAATTTATACTCTGGTGGAATTAGTCCCTATAATGGTATATTAATAAGAAAGACGTCTTAACAATTTCACTTGGTTATTACCACCGTGCACCTCCGACTTCTAAAATTTTTATTAATACAGGAGTTGCTCATTTTATGTAGTATTAGCTCGACCAGAAGTGATGATAAGAGACCACAATAATGAGCAACACTCATACACTGCACTCTGACTGATTCAAGTCACTACAGCTTACATATTTATTATGCTTACTCTTTTCTCATACCTTCTTAGCTTTTTCAATGAATGATTGCAATTGTACAATCACCCAATCTTCGAAATCCACACCAGGACCCCTGTGCAGAGGAAGAGTACAATTTGCAGTTGTTTTTAAATGAAAAGACAAACCTCCTGGGTTGAGTAGAGTCCACTTGTGCAGTGCACCCTGTGCCACATTGTAGTGTCTTTCCATTGCTATACAAGAACACCATAGTGTAAAAAAACAGTTGTAGTTTTTTTTACTTACCTTGTACAAAGAGCAAGTGCCCGTTGTTCTTTATTACCACACTTACATTTCAAATAAATGTTTCCTAACAAGATATGAAGTCAACAATACATAGCACATTTTGCTTTAATTGACTCACTTTGCAAGAAGGGCATTTATGTGGATAATGACAAGTAGCAACACAATTATGGCTGCCATTTTTGCATTTAATTAGACAGGGCTGTTTGCATTCCTTCTTGCAAATACCATCATGACACTCTTCTTGACACTCATGTCCACATGGGAGTGGTTTTCCACACATCACATTGCATGTGATTTTATCTTCATAACAATAGACAGTGCTTGTCTATAGTAGCTCAGTAAGTACAATAATAGAGTGTTAAGGTTTTTGGCTTACATCATGTCCACCAACACACGTTCTCTGTACTTGGGCATAACATGGAGGACATGTTTCTTTATTATGACATGTATGGGTCACTGAGGAAGGAGAAAGTGTGTGTAGTAAGTGAAGTGTTACATTTTTCTTACTCAGGACCTTCGTGGGCACAAGCATGTACTCGTGCACATCGTTTCTTGCATTCTGGTGTTATAGCTCCACACTGTCCTCTCACTTCCTCACCACAGTCACATGAGAGCTTTTTTATACCTGATAAAAACACAACATTTGATGAAATTATCTAACTTGCTGTTCCTATACTAGGACTATTGTACCAACGACGTCCACTTATAAGGTGAGTTTTAATGTCTTTCTGCCGAGTCCTAAAGAAAAAGCTGAAGGGTGTGAGAAAATGCTTGTATGCATGAGGTTGCCCCGATCTCTGCTCCCTCCCAACAATAGCTGAAATAACCCAAAAAAATTACTCACTTGTTTTAGTACATTCTTTACAGTCTCCACTGTGGCAGGGTTGGTCACAATCATGGTTACCACAAGGAAGACGTTTCATACACTTCTTATTGCACAAATGTGCCATTTCCTGTTCCTTAGAAGATTAGTTCAGCATAACAAGCTAATAATAATGCACACAGCAGAACTTACTGCACAGTTGTGTTTGCCACACTGATGACGTCCACAATTCATTGCTTTCTAAAGCACTTTGAACACACATGCTGATCGGTTAGGTCAATCTCTTGGCAGTCAAGACGTACTTTAACCTTGCACTCATAGCATTGCACAATACGAGATTTTGTACATGGTGGACACGGTCCGTTATGGCATTGGGAACGACAAATGTGCTGCTCTCCTGTTGGCAGTATAATGTACACTTTTAGTACTTCAAAATGAAGGGAGATATACAGATGGCTCTTGAAGCACCAATAAGGAGGAAAGAAAGGGTCATTCCACAGCAAAGACACACAAAACTACATGACACAGACATCCCTATGTCTTTGTCAGATATTTAACAAAAGGAACAAAGATAATTATGGATGGTGTCGCAGTTTTGTGTGCATGCATGCTGCGTAATGACCCCTTGTTTCTTCCTTTTTGGTGCTTCTAGCCATCCCTATATCCCCTTCATTTTGAAGAAATGACTTGTTCACTCTATTTTTAATGACTGGCTATGATTTTCTATGATGGTCACGCATGGGTATAAATAAAGAGAGGTTGGCCATGAAGAAAAGTGAACTGTGTGACCAAGTGAAAGCACTACATTCGTTGTGACACCATTTTGGTATAAAAGCAGGGACACTGAAACACAGAAGGTCTAGCACAGTACACAAGCAGTTGCTAATGGGTTGCTGATGACTGAACCCGGGGCAGTAGCTATACACAGATGGCATTCACGCCCCGTACGGTCTCCTACAAGGGGGTAATAAGGTTTGTACAAAGTTGAGTGCAATATTAGGTAGACGCAAACAATGGAGGCTCAAAGCTCAAAATATATAGCGGCTATGTGCAACAGCTAGCCACACGCCATGCACATACCCTGCTCCCAGCATGAACCAACAGCAAAAGCGTTGTTCTACAACGGGAGGCACTGCTGAGTTGCGTCGTCCAGTGTCTTCTATGGAAGAACTACCCGAATTATAATTATACCGTAGTATTATAGCTAACTTGCAACACGATCGTTTGGCGGCCGTGCACACCTCCATCGAATCTGGAAACAAAAGCACTGCTTCCATTGGTTCCGGTAGAAGATGGCATATGAGCGAATTCTCGCGTGGAGGACAGAAGGGATTGGCGAGCAGGAGCGCGCGTCACGTCGTGCTACTGCGCATGCGTAATGACGCTGCATATTAAGCACCCAGCAGCTCGCTTCACCCACAAGGGAAAGTTGATATACTAAAGATGTCATATCCGTAGTATCCGACCGCTTGTCTAGTATACGGGGCCCCGTTTCTAGGACGGCTCGTGTAATTGTGTGCTCGCTCCCGCTCGCCATGTTAGTATAAAGTGGTTGGGCATTAGAAAAGTGTCTGTAGACTACGGCTAGTGTGTTTTGAAGGCACAGCGAGTCATTCTCGCCGAGTTTTGAGGCTTTTTGCTTTTACCCGTGCCGTCTCTCCCCCGTCGACACCGACGCTCTGGCATTGGCGCGTGCGGGCGGAGAAGGGACTAGTTAAAGTACTGGCGCGATGCTTGCTGCCTTCTCGAACTTTCCCCGCGCCCAATAGCAAAGAGGGTATAGATCTGAGCTCAAATTTTCCCACTGTGCACCAGTTTACACTTTCGCTTGCTCCACGCCTGTGTCTCCACTGGTCCCGACTTTGTGAGTCCCACGTTAAAATACCAACTTGGAGACCTGAAATTCTCGTTGCCATAAGCGCTACCTGCTTATTATATCGGCGTGTTTGACCATGGTTTGACGGAGGCGGAACATAAAGTGCGACCTATGCAAAATGCTAGCTGCTCTGTTGCCGTGGAAGAAAGACTGACAGACAGACGAATCAGCTGACAGATGCAAGCGTAGCTAACAAACTCGTAGATTGAGTACGACATGAATCAACAAACCTTGAGTAGAGCAAGGTAGTTTCTTACCACACCGTTGACCACATGTTGGAACATCATTCTCCGGAAATGGCTCATCCTGGCATTGAAGAGCAGATAAAGGTGTGGGCACCACATGGGCAGTTCATTGTTATGTCTTTCCCCGTTTTTTTCTAGGCCACCAACTCAACTGATGTAACCTTGGTAACGAGTAATGAGATTCACCATGATGATCATCGATCATGTGAATAACCACTAGAGTACACATCAACTACACATCAAAAGATAAACCTCAAATAATCGGCAGACGAAGTGATCTGGCCTGCTTGTCTGAACATTTCCCGTAATGTACATATGATGACTGGCACTTCACATACGTAATGTTCTCACGCTCACTTACCAAAATGATTTAATGCGGGTCATTATTAATTATTTTACTATTGTGCTGTTGCTGTTTTCGTCACGCGTCATAAGCTGCGTATTACGTGCACACGCAGTTTAGTGATTGTGTTACTTAGTATATCTGTGTCATCCTGCATTATGCCCATATAATACATTTGAGATTTTCATGTTTCACACTCAGTTTCAATCAGGTCCAACACTCAGACTGATCCGTATCGTGACAAAGAGCATGTAACCAAGAAATGGCTTAAATCACATAAAAGTTAGTTTTCTAAAATCTTCTTGTTGTTCAGTTTCAACGAGCGTATCTCAAAAACCACTTAAGATATGGAGATTAAACTTTGCGCAAAGATTGAAATCCATAACAGGTCGTGCAAGAGCATTTAATTTGTTTATAAACAATGTTGTTTATATGTAAACAACAAAAACAACAACAAAAATAGCCCCAGGCCATACATTATGATATAGACCAATAAAGTGTGCTAACTAGGTAAAGCAAATACCCAGAATGATGTAACTTTGCATACATGCATAACCCATCATTAGTATCAAAATGTATCATTACAAGTTTGTAAACAACAACAAACAGCCTCAGGCTATAAAAACTTGTAAAATGTGTTTGTGCATGTAACTTGCTTATGGAATGAAACTTGGCACACTGATGTACCATGATGAGAGTTCATCGAAACACAAATGAAAAGCACTAAAGTGCAAACCCTCGGCGAACTGTGCGTGCGCGATACTGCTAATTGATGGGCTGGGCTATTGCCTATTTGCCGTTTACTCGCGCTAGTATATAACTCGCAGAGAGTCTGACACGCGGGCTAGCTACAAAAACATGCGAGAGTCGATACACGCCATTCGTTGTGACTTCTTGTGCCTTCAAGATACAGAGGTAGCTAAGCCTGTAAGCGCCGCGCATTTTCCGCAGCGATAAAAACGGCCGACTACGTACAATGCTGGAGGCGCTCTAGCTTTGCAACGGAGCAGTTTCAGAGAAAACTGCACAAATATTCTGACCTTGATTGCCCGTTAAGTAAGTCGTATATATCGTTTGTGAGAAAAAAGAACATTGGGGAAGTGAGATGTTGATTAACACACACACACACACACACCCAACTACTTTAGCCTCGCTGAGCATGCGCGCCGAGGGTAATTACAAGTTTGTAAACAACAAGAAACAGCCTCAGGCAATAAAAGGTGTTTGTGCCTATAAATTACTTGTGATTGATCTTCTAACAATGAAACTTGGTAGACTGAGTCATCATGAGTTCATCGAAACAGAAATTACAAGTTTGTAAACACAAACAGCCTCAGGCAAAAAGGACCTTTAAATGGCGTCAGTGCCTATAACTTTCTTATGATGGGTCCTCTCACAATGAAACCTGGTGCACTGATGTAATGTGAATGACGACAAAACGTCAGAGCGAAAGCTTATGGCCACTAATGTTACTTTTTTTATGGGCTTATGAAAAAAAGGAAAGGAGAAAACTGAATAAAACATTGTTCGAATTAAAAAAAGTGTGGAATATAGGGATGCCATTAAAAGTAAAGAGACAAGACAGGGATTACCTAGTGAATGTGATGCAGTAGTACAATGGATGATGGCTACATATACTTTGAACTGACATCGCTTGCTCATGTACATTTTTTATTTACTTGTTAAGGAATAGAGGAAACAAGTGAAAATATTTTTTATTCAAAATGAAGGGGGATATAGGGAAGGCTTGAACCACCAAAAAGGAAAAATACATCACACAGCCAAGACAGAAAGCTACATGACATGATACCTTTATGGGGTATATATAGGCATGGCTCGAACATGAAAAAGGAAAGAACATGGGGTCGTTGCACAGCTACACACAAAGCAACCTGACACCATTTCTATATCTTTGTCTGATGGTATTTGCCTTTAGAACAAAGATATAATTATATATATAGAGGGATGGTGTCATGTAGCTTTTTGTATTAGCTGTGTAATAACCCATTGTTCTTTCTTCATGTTTTGAGCCATCCACTAACCCTCGGCACACATACGCAGCGAGGGTTACTGTAGTTGTTTTTTTTTTGTCTGTGTGTCTGTGTGTCTAAGCCTATTCTGGCACTACAGCTGCTACGAGGCAGCCTATTAGTGATACCAGTGGCTTCAGACTTATGCGAGCCTGAAAATCATCATGCATTCGTGCATTCGAGAGATAGAACGTAAAAACAAGCGAAAATGCCAATATGCATAATCGCCTGGGCTTACCGCGACTTTATCCTCCTTCTCCGTGCCTTGGATGCTCAAGAAGTCACAACTAAGGGTGTGAATCGACTCCCGCATGCTATGGACTAAGTACAGTAGTACTTAGAGCATCATAGAGCAGTATATACGTAGCATCATAGATGTATGGGGCTTTATTGATAGGGAGTTTTGTCACCTTCTCTTTCTCCTTCTTCTTCTTCAAATTGATCTCACGTAACTCAAAAACCAAATAACATAATTATAGTAATGAAATTTTGTAACAATGTAGATTTCCGTCACCCGAAGGGGCTGGCCATACTTATTTGTTTGTAAACAACACTTACAACAACAACAAATAGTCCCAGGAAATAATACATTATAATGGAATCACATGTGTCAGTGTAACTTGCAAATGGTGTGAGGTGTGTGGCTACTGAACCAAGAGTACAAATGGATTTTACGAGTGGCACAACAGGTAACAATGTAGGGATTGTGTGATGGGGTCGGCGGTGTCAGCATGCTCAAATCTGTTCATTAACCATGCTTCATGCATGTATCCCATCCCTAACGTGTCTCCCTTTCTTTGTATACAATCCCTATATGCCTCATTTTTTTGAATTCATAGGATATTTAATTTACTCGTCTACTAGTGTAGCTAGCCCGTGTCAGACTCTCTGCTAGTCACTCGTGTGGAGACCATGAGTAAACGCGTAATATGGGTTCAACCTATCATTTAGCGGTACTGCGCATGCGCAGTGAGCCGAGGGTTTGCAGTTCATGTTATAATATTGGCAAGACACTCATATATACCTCTCCTGGTTTGACTGTAGGTGCTGGTATGGAAGCTGTTGGTAACTTGTCAAGCTGAGTCTAAGAATGTAGGGTGGAGTAGTAACAGTTACAACTTTAAGTCTAGCTATGGGACGTACATTATACGAATGATCCACGTCTTTAAGAAAACTCTCTACTCTGACTGTTGCTCCACCTCCATACCTGTGTTCAATGTAACACAGTGGAACAGACAGACTGCCATAACTCACAGAGGTGGTTTCACAAGCTCCATTACCAATGTAGCGTTTGACATGGGACAACATAGGACATGATTATGAAAGGCAGCCAGCTCTCCGATCCACCAGCACCCTCTGTCCTCATGACAACAGAACACAGACAGTGAGTTCACTTTACGCTGGAAATGCTTATCCAACATTACGCTCCACGGAGAAGTGTTGCAGTGTGGACATGCACGCCCCTCTTTCTTTATCCTTGTAGCAGCTTCCTCTGAGAGATGTTTTCCACAGCATGAAGTGAGGTGAGGCTGGAGCAGTAGACCGTATGTCACTGGACAGAAGAAGTCAACAGATGGCTCCTCAACAAACAGATAATCTTCCTCTGGTGATGGCTTAGGTTGACCGACAGATGGTTTAGCTCTGAAAATCAGTGTAAAATGAACACTAGGAATACTGTAGTCTCTGATAGACATACCCTGAAACAGCTAGTCCAGTGGCTCCAATTGATGCTGCACTGGCTGGACCACTGCTGGTTGATGGAGTGACAGGGAGCGTCTGTTAATGGAACTGCTATCATCAGATTCTACTGCTACAGGTAGTCACACTCACCTCCTGAGGTTTACGTAAACGATGCACACAAGATCCTGCAATCACCAATTTAATGACTAAATACCGTTTGAGAATTGCTTTGGGCACATTTTTCTTCAATTTTTCGACAACTGATTCAGGTATGAACCAGGTGATGATGAAAGAACCAGGACGAATGTGTGCAATCATCATGGCACACTCTCGCAGGTTATAGTGGGAGGCATACTCTTGTCTAAACTGCTCCACAACTTCTAGTGTCACACTCTCTGGCCAGTCAAACTCAGCAACTAACTCTTGAAATTCTGGTGACAGCTTGATTTTCTTTTTCTTTAATGCCCGACAGAACAGAGTTAATGGTGTCCTTTTTCTAAACTGCTGTAGATCTGATTTGTAGGTTTCCATCTTAGGTTTTACATGATCCATATCAAATTCCTTCATCACATACTCCAATAAGTGGTATGACAGATAGTTCATGTTGAAGCTCAACTGTCCAATGAGCTCGGCATGATCAGTGGCTTGATAGAAGACACTCAGTTGCCCCTGCAAAATCTGTCTGTGTTCCTCAACATCATCTGCTGGTAGGTTGGTTAATGCATCAACGACTTTCTTAACAGGAACATTTCTCTTCTCCAGACTGCTTCTGCATTCAAACTTCATCTCATTAAACTTTTTCTCGAGCTGCCTAATTTGTTTCCCGATTTCCTGGATCTGAGCATCTATAAAAGAATGACATTTTTAAAAGCTGGATCTAGTTCAGCAGCTATCAGCAGAGTCTCACCCAATTGAACACCAGTGGCTTGTGGTATTTGAACAGGTACAGGAGCACCACCTTCAGGAAAAAAACCTACATTCTGTGTATATACTCATTGGGATTTCCAACTCACCATTTTTATCTAATATCAACTGATGCGACTTAGGTGTAGGATCGTTGACTGGAGCTGTAGGTGGAACAGCTATACATAATATTATATATACACTCTCATGGCTTCAGTAACTATCCGCTTTGAAGCAAGCCATAAGCCAAAGAATTTCTCTCCTCTCTCTCTCTCTCTCTCTCTCTCTCTCTCTCTCTCTCTCTCTCCCTCTCTCTCAATGACAGACTGCTCACCAGAAGCTGGTGTATGTGTTGCGGTAGGATCAGGGAAATGAGCTTCTTCCACTCTCCTAGCTAGTGCTGGTAAGCTGACAATGGGATTCCTGAGAGCTTGTACAATAACCCTCCAGCTTGGCTTCTCTTGCTTCAGAAAAGCGATAATGATGTAGAGAAGGCGTACGCGTGGGTCTAAATATCTCCCATGGATGGCCTCCACCTCATGTAATCGCAAATTCAACCCCAGACCCAGCATAAGCGACTCGTTCTGTGCCTCTAGTAATTCCTCCAGTATCTTACTCGCATCGTCTGGTGTCAGCGCCTCGTCTACGGCAGGAGCTGCGTCGACATTGCAAGAATAGCTATGAACTCTCATTCTCTTTTTAGCTAACCATCCTACCTTCAGCCATTATTGAGGGCAGTTTCTGACTAAACAAGAAGTAAAAAGGGGGTGGGGCTCACTGACGCTGGACAGTCGAGTCGATCGATCGTAAAATGGCGGCTGCCGCGCCCCTCAAGCTCGCTTCGCGCATGCGCATGCGCGTTGATCTTGCCTCGTACCCAGGCCGGCAAGTTCCGTAAAGGAAAATTGGTCATTACACAGCTATATAATGGCTAAACACAAAGCTATGGAACATGACACAATGCCTATATCTTTGTATTTGCTGGTTCCGGTAAGGAGATAGCTTGTTTAGCTACATTTTGTTGTTAGGGCAGTGCCTCCAGTATAAAGCTGTGAAGATGCCGAACCTAGCCATCTTGTCGGGTTGAAACTTTCATCGGCGTCAAGCACGATCATTACACAGCACTACTCGAGCTTGACCCCCTTGCTTCAGAAATGTGGCATCCTCTGTGATGATCTCGCGATCACACCCAGCCTCGGTCATAGCTGGCTCTGGCAGCTGAAGGAGAAAATACACAACCATGGCCACTAATACTGGGTTATGCTGCACAAGGCTACTAATTGCACATGCGCGGTCCGTCTACAAACTGCGCATACACACCTTTTGTCCGATTTGCACATGCACAATGTTTGCCTTTCGCGCAGTGTCGTTATATACCTAGTCTGACAATACTGTGTTCACCACAACGGCAATACAACTATACATACAGTATAGGGGCAAAGTTCATAGCTACATTGATGTTTATATTTTGCAGAATTTGTTTTGTATTTCATAGGCCAGTCTTTCTTCTTTCATTTTCCTTACAGCGGCCACCACTCTCTCCCATGACAAATCTGTGTTCGTTCTGTAGACATGGTTTCCTGCAAAGCTGTCTCTGCATCTCCCCTGTGATCTCTCCTAATCAAGTTCAACGTGTCAACATCACCAGTCAGCTCCAGGCCCAGCTGATATATACCACTTGGTGGTATGAATATGGCCATGCAGGTCTTGAAGTTTCAGTGGACTTCTTGTTTGTATGGCTGGTGTTGGTAATTGTGTTTAAAATGGTGGGCTGAGGACTGGAAGAGTAGCTTGGACTAAGACTTGAGAAAAAGTATTATAGCAGTTTCATGGTAACCTACTATTCTGCTGTGGTTTTGGCTTTAGTTTGAACCTCTTTCCCCTCTCTCTAATGCCCATTATCTCCACTGGGATGATACTAGAAGACTGGGAACTTGAAGTTGGAACTCTTTCAATTTCCAGCCCTATCATAGGAGGATAAGGAATGATCTCATGAGAACTCAAGACTTCGTTGGATAGCTGTGGGTGTAGATGTAACGAAAAGTAACATAACAATACACATACCTCGCATGGCTCTCTATCAGGAGTAATGTTCCACCCAGTACCAGCAGGCCACTGCAGTGACATCCCGTTGCCTTCAATGCTGATTGTTTCAGAAGAAAGCTGGGTAGAGTACTCCATTACATTTTCTTTGAGTACCTACAACAACAAACTCATATAGGAAGTAAAAAAACCCTAGTAAATAGAGTGTGTGGTTAAAGAATACAGAGGGAATAGCCATATCGTCAAAATTATTATCCTGATACACTTGGTAAACATAAATGTCTCCATCTATATAAAATCCGCAAATCCTTTTCATTAAAAAATGGCAGCACCTCTCACCTCTTTGCTGCTTATTGGGAAGGCTCTCTGAGTGAGGTGAGGGTTGCTTGCGTTTACGTCCAGCACCAGTCAAAGAGAAGTGCCGTAGTAAAATTTGGCCGTACTCCTGGCTTTGCTCAAACACTCCTTGTCTGATGAGCTCCTTGAACACAAACTATCTTTTTACTAACTTCTGTGCAAGGAGTGCAAGGTGCTGAGAGGAAACATATTTGCTTACAGTCTTCAACAGTTTCAAGGTTGGAGAAATGGTATATACAATGTGAAGTTATGTCACGGGTGAACTGAAAGGAAGGAGAGACGAGGAAGACAGGACTAGCTAGTTCATAATCATTAGGCAATTGGAATGGACCATCACTGGCATGGCCAGACACTCAGCTTGAGCTCCCTATCTTTCAGAACAGCTCCAGAAGGGATAAAAATGCCACTCCTATCTCCTCCCTCCAGTCAATGTATGCACCAGCTGATGTCACTGAATGCTTCCATGGATTTCTAAAAAAGCGTGTTCCCAGATATCCACTGTCGAATTTGTATCAGGAAGCAATCTGAGATTGGGATGTTAATAAGGCCAGTGGTGTAAGAACCACAGCACTCTTGGCTTACATGCTGAAACCCAGTTACATGACTGAAGAGAACAGTAAGTTCCCCTCTTCCCCTCTCTCACTCCCTCCCCCAAGTTCAGAGACTGAGAGGTTGTCCCAATCTCGGAGGTAAAAAATACCCTACATTATTGTCATGCAATTGAAACAGAGAGGTTGTCTCTATCTCGGAGGGTCACTTATCAGAGTATTCCAATGTGAAATCTACACGATAGAGAAAGCCCCGGTACATTGCTAGGAAACTCCTGAATGTGTATAATTATACCTAAGCTACGAGATGGTACTCTCTCAGAGGTAGCTGTGGTTAATCTTGAATGCAAGCGCTTATGCAGAGAGAATCCTGTATTCAAAATGTTTCTATGTAGTCCCTCAATAACACAGGGAAGTTGTATGTACATGAAAGGGCTCCCAGTAATAACCTCAAATTTAGAGGCTGCACAACCTTCAGTTACGTAATCATTCAATGATTTTGATGGCAGCTACGGTCCTTCTGGATGCATGATCGAATTATAGCAATTATGTGCAAAGTTCAAATGCTGATTGAATAATTGCTGTATATAATGTATAATACATAGCCATGCTCGAGTAAGTAAAACATGTATATATTGTGGAGCATCATTGTCAATGTCTAATTGAACCTCCACACAGATTTACACCAATCTTAGCAAACTCGGTGCTTGTGTGTCATTTGCTTCTGTACTTCATCCTGTGGAGAAGACAAGGAGAACCACGATCGTCCTGTATGCCAGTGGAAAGACTCCCAGCCAACTCAACAACTGCAGCTTCTACTGAGGTGCAACCAGTAGTGAGAGGGTAAATATTCTTTTGGAGGACAACAATATGTTAACCCTCGTAAGATGCGATTGTACTTTCACACTTACTTAGTCAGCCAATGAAAAGCACTAAAGTGCAAACCCTCGGCAAACTGTGCATGTGCGGTACCGCTATTGGCCTATTAGAGGCCTGGTGGTTGAAGGAAACTGCTACGTAGGCCCAGCTTAGGCTGAAGATATTCTGGCATCTCCTCATCATCCACAGGCCTGCCAATCCCTAATGTGCGAGATGACCATTAGTTGGAGGACTCCTCAGCTGGCTCCACTGCACTGGTCATTGTTGGACACACTATTTGTGGTTTTTGGTAGGCTGTATATTATATAAGATAGAAATGGGATATTATAGCTATGGAGAATGGTTTGCATACAGGTTATAATATTGAATGCAGATGTCTTGAGGTTGGTGTGGCTTCAATCATCTCGTAGATTCATCTATAAAGCTGAGGCATTCGCTACTGAAGAAGATCGCCGCAATTACACTAGAAACACGTAGCGCAAGTCGCACGCGGAAGCCCGTTGCCATGCGTAGCAATGACGTATTATTTGGGGTTTAATGTCTGTGCGCCTGGGCCCGGCTGTTTCCGTAAACCCCCTTGTCGCTGAAGCGGGCGGAGTTAACTCTAAAATGCGCGTATATCATCGCGGTGCATGCGGATGGATCTTTCAGATTTGGGGTTTCGGCCTCGTGAGATAATATATTCACTCGTAAGCACCCTCGTAGAATGACGCTGGCAGACATCCATAAACTCGTGTTTAATGAGCTCTTGCAGAAGGATTCCTTGAGCGTTCTTATCCCCACACACACGTGGCCCACTGTCCTTTCCCAGATGAACATTGAAATCTCCTGTAATAACGACAGGACCATTCGTCTGAAAATAGGAGATCATACCCTCCAGGTCCGACAGATACTCTCTGAATAACTCCAGCGGGTGGTGTGAGGATGGAAGGTACACTCCAATGATGGTAAGTGTTTCATTCAATTGTTGAAGAGATAGCTGGATAACTATAATTCTGTCTGAGTCAAGATGCAAAGACGACATAGGCAGATTCTTCCTCCACCGTACAGCCATGCCACCACATCCTTGACTAAAGTTGCATTCTGTATTTAGTCTATGATCAGAGATGCCAAGGCCAACAAAGTCAGGGTGGATATCATCCAACTTGTGCAGCTCATAAGGCCATAACCAGTGTTCAGAGAGAACAATAACGTCATGCTCCTAGGTGCTGGATATACGGCAGGGCCTGCGAAAAACCACGACAGTTCCAGGCGCATACCCTCAACGATGTTTGCACAGCACCAGGTTCCATGACTGGAGAGGTGGCTTCACGTTCAGTGGGAACATCATTATTTTGTGCCAGAATGCTCTGCATGACTTCTTGACTTCAGATCTTCAATTTCTACTCGTAGGTTGGCTATCTCAGCAACCAGTTTGTCCACGGTAGTTTGAGGGGAGGAGGACTTGACAGATTTGACGTTAGAAATTTCACCTCTTAAGATGTTTAGTTCCCTCATGATTGATGAATAGGCTGTGGCGCAGTTTAGTAGAAGTGATTGACGAAAGTTGCACGTTGTTTTGTGTTGGCGCATTGTTAGTATGATGTTGTGTTGGCGCTTGCAGGGCGATCTGAACATTATACATGCCACGCTCGTTAGATGATTGTGGGTCACCTAATTGTAATTGTGGCTCGTGGGATACATAATCCTGCGTGTGCCCCCTGAGGGACTGTTGTGACGCTTCAGAAACTTGTCTACTTTGTTTCCCGTTTTTTTAGCAAGGTCCGCGGAATCCCCCTGCGACACTTTATGCACTGTACAAGAGTCCAAATGTCTTCAATGTACTATATACGTCAGGAACGACGGAGACTCCGCATAGCAGACAAATAGCTGGTTGTCTATCATTTCTGACCCACACTCTGAACAAGATGTACTACCGCAGCAGTAATGTGCTTCAGTTTCAGAGATCTCTCTGAACTCTGTAAAAAAGAAAAGAAGAGGAAGAGTCTTCTATAAATTACGGAGCCTAACATAGGAAGGAATTTACAATTTCTTCAGAACAAGAAGTGGGAACTTTACCCAAATGAAGTTGAAAGAAGGAATCTGTAGGGAAAGCGTTAAAATTATTTACAGTCTTGTTGAGTGGTGAATGAGGTGTTGGCAGGAGGTCCAGACCCTCGAGTGTTACTGGCCACCAGAGAACAGGAGTAGAAGGTGTTGGGAGAGAAGCCGGCTACTGTGTGAGGGCCAGACTGTGAGGTGGGGGATTGAGGGAGAGAGGAGGGGGAGGGGGAGCAGGGTGTAGCTGGTGATGACTCCATTACGCTGGGTTACAGGTGGAGGAGACCAGGAGAACACAACCTCTCTCTCTCTCCTGGCACTGCACTTAACATCTCCGGAGATCCGGATGGAGCTGAGGGAATATTAATATCATGTCATCGTGAAAGTTCTTTTATTATTTGCAAAGTATGCGGATAATGAAAGTCACATGATGTAAACTTTTTTGTGCACATTGTGGGTAATTGTAAATGCTCAATGTATGACATGATGTGTGTTTAGTACACTTCATAGAGCTACAAATACACAAGAAAAAGGATACCCAAAAATGGGCTCACCTATATACCACAATCCTTTTCATTCCAACAATGGTGTTTGTGTGTTTAGTGTGTGTATAGGTAAACACCAGATTCATTGGTAGGGATGTAGAGGGAGGCAGGGAGAGAGGATCCTCTGTCAGATATGGTGGAGATGCTGCAGTTGCAGAGGAAAGTCCAGACAGTGTGGCTGAGGTGAGGGTTGGTGTCAACAGGGAGAGAGACTGGGGGAATGGGATCCCAGTCAGGAGAGTGACACATGTCAGGTTGTAGCCAGTGGTGAGGTGGGCCCCAGTGCTGGGCTGGCTCCAGGAGAATGTGAGAGAGGTCTCTGATACTGAAATTACCTCAAAGGTTTCCACAGTATAGGCAACTGTAGGCAAAACAGGTCTGGTGTGCTTCCGAAATGTTTAGGTAATATCCTAGCTAAAAGAGTTAAAAACAATTTGTCACAGGCTATATATGAGAAGGTGAATGTTATATTATATAGAGTTATTTAGCACATGCATCAGCTCACATAAAAGTGTGCATTATTATGTTAATCTTACCAGGTGTTTCACAAACCTTTGTGTTGTATGGTGACATTTGGCCCACGGGTGACAATACTTGATATTGTACTGGAGTCAGCTGATACACTAATGGAGAAAGTTGCCCCTGCAATTAGTCCCGTGATAACGACGCTGGTATCTGTCTCTGCAGTTGTCACTGATCCGCTAAGTCCTCCATCTATTTCCTGGTAGATGACAGTGTAGCCAGTGACATAGAGTCCTTCTGATGGTGTCCAGGTCACTAGTAGATCTGGACTGTTCAGTCCATTCTGAGACACTCCCACATTAGATGGAGGAGAGGGAGCTGGTGCAATCATATATAGTAATTCAGTAATTTCATGAAAAAAATCAGTCTCACCTTGTACAATTAACTCTGCTGCAACATCTGAAAACCCATTAGCTACTGTACATTTGTATGATCCTTCTATTCTCTCTGTCACTAACAGTGTGCTGAGTAGTCACTCCATCATTCAACACAGTCTGGGTTCCTTGGGTGACAGTGGTGGAGTCTCTGGTCCAAGTGACAGTGGTAGCAGGTCCACCAGTAGAGATACAGGTGAGGATGAATGAGTTGTCATTATGGAGAGTGAAAGTCATACCACCAGACAATGTTAGATGTCCTGAGTATATAGAGGGTGCCAGTAAATGTACATTCAAAAACCAAACATTACCTCTTCCAGTGTTGTTCAGTTCAACATAGACAGTCTGAGATATGGATGCAGCATCCAGTACCGAACACCAATATATCCCCTCTAGTGCAGTACCAACGGTCCTCTTCAGTCTCACTACCATAAAGCCTCTGTTTCTGGTAACTCCTGGAACATCCATTTCATTTACTCTAGTTGTATTTGGTGCAAACCAGTTTCCTGAAGTTGGAATGCCAAGATAGTTAGTAACACAGAGTAGAGCAGTGTCGTCAGTGAAGCCAATATCATTGATATCCAAATAGCCACGATCAGGGATGACAGCTCCTTTCAGACTGAGGAAGACATCTACACACAATTATCATTCGGAGTATTGAAACAGAGATTGAATGCTTACTATCAGGAGTCTCGATATTCCGTGGTTGGCTGTAGACTCCAGTACCAGCACTGGTCCTTGCTACCACTCCAACTGTGTAGACTGCCTGTTTAGTAAGTCCACTGAGTGTGATCATTCCTCCACTGGAGTCTCCAGGGGGGTAGCTGTGTCTCTGACCACCTACCTCTTCCCCATACCTAACTGTGTAGCCTATAATCTCTCCATTCCGATGGATACAGTCCATTGGCCCCCACCTGACGTTGATACTAGTGGAACTGACCACTGACAACCTCACAGAAGAGGGAGGGGCAGACGGAGCTGTGAGTAGGAAAGTGTTCAGAATGAGGTCAAAGTAGACTGAGAGATAGACTGACCAGCAGTTGTTGATGTGGCTGTGATGATATCTTGTTCAGTCCTTCCTCCAGTCAGAGTGGCAGTGAGTGTGATAAAATACTGAGTCACCAGTCAGTGTATGTGATGTCGCACTAGTAGATATACCACTTCTGAAGTCAGTGAAACAATCAGTGTTATTGTTGGAGTAGGAGATGGTGTAGCCAGTAGATGTCAAAGTCCCCTCCAATGTCCATGAGATGGTCAGAGATGTATAGGATAGGGAGATAACTTGTGTACTAAGTCCATCTGTTGAGAAAGGTTTATCCTAAGGCAGAGAAAACCTGTCCCTACACACTGGCATACAAAAACAGGTGTATAAGCCAGAAGTGTATTGTGTAGGTAATGGATGTTGTTTACACAGCTTAGTGACCGTCTCAGCAGTTAGTAGACCCTTAAAATTATAGGAATGGCTTTTTGCCTATATTACTCTGATTATGACAAAGGGGAATAGGATATATACCTAATGCGAGACTAGCTGATGCAGATGATGGCTTGGCATTAGACACACTATATGTGTATGTTCCCAAAGCAGTCACAGTCAGAGTGTGGGTGTACTGTGCAGTCACTGGGTCATTCAACACAGTCTGGGTTCCTTGGGTGACAGTGGTGGAGTCTCTGGTCCAAGTGACAGTGGTAGCAGGTCCACCAGTAGAGGTACAGGTGAGGGTCATCAGGCTAGGGTCAAACGTCACTCCTCCAGATATTGAGATGTTCCCTCCTATTTTCAGAACAAAGCCTTACCATCGTCTCTGGTAATTGTAGCAAATATACCATACCTATAAGTATATACTATAATTATGGATCATGCAAGCATACAAGCAATTTTGCACTGCAGTGTGTTGATTCAAAATTTTTAGGTATGCTTAGATTTACCTTCATTGGTATACAGTCCCACATAGACTGTGGTTCTCACTGAAATGTCTGTATCGTCATGGACAGCATTGGTTGGAATCTCACAACGATATATACCAGTTGGAGAAGTGGCACTATTATTGCGACGTAGTTGAATTCTCATAGGTTTTTCAAACACATAAATATCTCCATTTGTCTCCAAAGGTTCTCCATCAGGGAAATACCATTGCCCGCGATGAATGCCATTTCCACCTGTGCAACAAGTCTCCAGATCAGTGTGACACCAAACACTGTTGCTAAAATCTGTCCCCACTGTTCCAAGGTCTACATAACTATGGTTAGGTAGCCCAGCTCCCATGGATGGGGAGACATAAGGGAAAGTCTGACAGTCGACCTCCAGACTACTGAGGAGACTTAACGCAAGCACAAATCTCGAATCCATCGCGGGCTGAAAATGTACGAAGCTGAGCCGTGAATTTTACCAAACGCTTGTTTCCGCTTCCGGGGGCGCGCGGTGTACGGCATTGCGCATGCGCTTTGCGTGTTGTAACAGAAACGGCACAAGTCACATATCTCCAGGAATGACATCATAGACAGCAGTGTCTCTCTCCTCTGTGGCAGCACGTGCACTTGCATACCTATGCTGCCACGATTAGGAACCCTCAGTGGATGCTGCAACAGACCCCACTATCCCACTGAGCACCACTTTAAGAGGGATGGTGGGGAGGGGGCCGAGGGGCTGGCTGAGCAAAGGACGAGGGAACCTCATACATCTCCTCCAGTTTAGGAGGAGAAGGAGGGGATCCTCCATGAGAGATGTCCAAAAGCTCATATCGCTCTTCTCTCTGTCCTCCCCCCACTTTCCCATAAGCCTCGTTGGTTGAGGTGTGAATATCACCACTTTTTCAGTCACTGCTGATCCATACCTGCACAGATGAATGTTAACACACATAGTGATTCATACAATACTGCAAAAGTAATAGTGTAATATAGCTATGCCATCATAACTTGATACACTGACACACGTCACAATTATACCTTTTGTCAGAATTGCTCTTCGGTGAAAAATTAACAAAACTCTTCTTTAACACGAGAATATATAACAAGTGGAAAAATCATTTATTGAAACTGAAGGGGGATATAGGGATGGCTTGAAGCACAAAAAGGAAGAAACAAGGGATCATTACACAGCAAAGTTGCACAAAGCTACACGATACCATCCCTGTATATATCTTTGTTCGTTGCTTATAAAATGAAGAGCACTATATACAGTGCAAACCCTCGGCGAACTGCCGTGCCGCTAATTGATGGGCTATATAGTAGTCTGACACGGGCTAGCTATATACAGTAGTAGATAGCATGCGAGAGTCGATACACACCCTTCGTTGTGACTTCTTATGCCTTCTAGATACACAGAGCAAGCGCGACCAGGTCGAGGTAAGCATGTGATATAAGCGGATGCGCATTTTCCGCAGCGATAAAATGGCGACTACCCGCATGAGGCTGGAAGCGCTCTAGCTTTGCAACGGGACATTTGCTGAGAAAAAAATTCGAAATTTCTGACCTTCATTGGTTGTTAAGTAGGTCGTTTTTGGTGTCACCATTACTTCTGATTTGTCTTGGAGTGAGCACATTCACACTATTTGTACTAAAGTCAGGAGGACCGTAGGGTTACTATAATATTGTCCGTTACTTTTACCTGAACTCTGATACCACCAGTATCTTTGTCTCATATTAAACGTTGGCTTATCACAATAAACAAAGATATATGGATGGTGGCATGTGCTTTGTGCATATTTGGTGTGTAATGACCCTTGTTTCTTCCCTTTTTTGTGTGGTGCTTCACGTCATCCCATATCCCACTTTTCTTTGAAAATGAATTTTTTCCACTATGTTTTTCCACTACTTCTTTAAAACAAGCTTATGACAACACTCATCACTCTGATGTCAAATGGCTATGTTGTAGAATAAAATGTTGAAAGCAGAGCTAAGGACTGCTTCTACCTGAAGCAGGTGTATGCGTAGTGTCTCCAACAGGACGCATTAGGTGTGGCACAGTATGGTTTTGGTTTCATTGGGGCAGGCTTCAGAAATCAAACTTACAATGAGATATAACCTGGGGACCAAGATGAAGGCGCACGCGTAACACGGCGCAGATTGCCAAGTTCTCCTCGTGCAAATCAACAGGCCCCAAACGGCAAGCTAGCCAGATACAGAGGTGTACACTGACTTACAGAAGCACTGAGGATGATAGTAGTTTTCGCTTCAGGCATCCAGTCCTGGCTTATTCTCGTTCGTGGACCAGACAAAGCTGCTCGCAACCGCATTGAGAAACGTCCTCCTCTGCGCATGCGGCCTCAACTGATTCCTGAGTTAGCAAGCAAATGACGTTGTTCGTGACTACCGAGGAAGATCCTCAACGATCTACCGTAGTGACTTCGGCAAGAAACAAATGGGGGGGGGGCGATCGCTGTGATTTGTGCGGCACACCTCCGTCAAATTCGGAGGACGTTCTGTGAAAAAATCAACAGCTTCAAGTGCTTTCCCGGTAAGGATCTAGCGGGTCTGAGAAGAGAAGTAGAAGAAGAAGAAGAAGATGAATAAGAAATGAAAATCTGATTATGACACGAAATCGTGAATCGCGTATGATCGAATTGCTCGCGTGACGGGACTGAAGTGCGTATTGAAGGTCTTGGGGGACTGTATAGGTAGATATGGGCCCTATACTGACTGCTAGTATGTTTTGAAGGCCTAGAGAGTGATTCTCACCGAGTTTTTGTCGTTTGTACGCGGATACGTGAGTTTCACACCCGTGCCGTCCTATATGAGAGTCCCGACTCTCTGATATACTGGTAAGGAGATAGCGGGTTTAAAGAAGAAGAAATAATGATGAATATGAAGAATATTCTCCACCTGATATTGAAATGCTTCCTATTGTTTTTACTTTTTGGTCATTGGAAATTGGGGATGAAGAAGAATATGACGATGACACGAAAATCGTGAAAACGAAATCGTGAATTCTCGCTTGGACAAATGAATGTGCGTATGAGGTCTTTGGGAACATATTGTATAGGTAGATATGGATCCGTAGACTATTGCTAGTTTGTTTTGAAGGAAGTCATTCTCCCCGAGTTTTTAGTCGTTATGTACGCGGATCACGTGAGGTTTCACCCGTGCCGGTTGCGTCTACCGACGCTAATACACTGCCTCAATTTAGCTACTAGTGGGCGAATGCATGGCATTCTTGGCGAACGGGAGCGAGCACACAATGACTGTATCTGCACGAGCCATCATAGCAGCGTGTAAAAGCGCGCTATCATGACGCATGCACAGGTCGCACATGATTTCGAAGCGCGTAACGAAGCCGCGCATGCGCACTTACACGACGTATGCGGTCGTATATAATAGTGCATATATAGCGAGCGGGAGCGAGAACACAATGACTGTATCTGTACGAGCCATCCTAGCAGCGTGTAGAAGCGCGTTTTCCTGACGCATGTGTGTATCGCATGTCGCATGCTATCAGGCCTCTCTCTCCTCGCTGGACTCGGCAACAATTCTCTGGTCTTTATTCCTGCGTGCCTGGCTTGTCTCTCCTCGCTGAACTCGGCAGAAACTCGCCTTGCCTGATATCTCCGGAGCAGTGCGAGCCTGGCCTGTTCCGTTTCCCCTGATTCTGAAGCGCGTCTAGCTCTATCTTGTAAACGACGTCTCGCCAGTCGTGCTTCCCTTTCTTCCGCTGTTTCGGCGCGAGGCGTTCCCTATCACGCAGTCGGCGTTAAGAAGCCTGTTGCCTATCACAGTGCTGCTAACCACGCGTATTCTTCCGTATTTTAACGGATTTTATACGGTAGTACGGAACGGAACAGATTTTTACGGAGTTGCGTGAATCATCACTTTTTTGCAGCTTTATACGGATATTTCACATAGCACCACGTGAAACCACGGAGAGATAGCTCTACCTCATAACTAGCAGCTAGAGACATAAATCTTTCCGCATCGATGCGCGCATGCGCACTAAGTTTATACGGAAGATGATTTACTTTATACGGATAATTCTTGAGGTTTTTACTGACGGTTGCTTGTACAGGTTGGCAGCTCTGCAGTATCACGTAGTCTTCGTTAAGCCTCTCTCTGATCAGAATCTTCAGTCTACAGAGGATGCCCTTCGTCGTCGAAGAGAGCGGGAAAGAGAACGTCGTGCCCGTTGTCAGACTAGCACACGTGTATGAAGCGTGTAACGAAGCCGCGCATACGCACTTACACGACGTATATAAGCGGTCGTAGAAAATCGCGCCGTTTGGACCACTAGGTTAGCTCGCTCCCGCTCCCCAAAAATACCTAGCAAAAACCCACTGACCCGTCAAAATGGCATGCGAACAAAGCCCGAA